CAGTCGGTATCTGCTTTTCCTTCTTGAGACTGGAACGATTGTAAATTCTCTTCTGGGAGAAGAGAATTGCATTTGACTTGATACTGAGGAAAGTGTGAAGGTAAGGATAATTTAACTAAGAATAGTCTTTCAAAACAGTTGAAATTTTGGAGAGAAAGAACTGGTATGGAATGATGGAGAATCAAAAAAATTTAAAGCTATATATGCTTGTATACACTTTGCTTTGAGAATTAAGGCAAATGGTAAAGTGAGTTCAAGAAATAGCTCTAATTGGTTTAGTGTATTGGAATATATACATGTCTTGAAATATGAGTCACTAATTAAGATTTAGGGATACTTTATTTTGGTGCTGGCTCAAGATGAATTTTTAGTTTAAGTTTTTCTCCATGGTATTCATTTTATATTGAAGTTAGATATTTGGATGAGATTCCAACAAGTAAATTGTAGGATTTCTTTCTCTGGGCTACTTTGAGTTCTCGCCTCTTTCTGTACACAGGTCTGGTTTTTGGTTTAAGTGGCTTTGGTTAACGGGAATTAACATCTAACACCTGATTTATATCTTGAGATTTGCCCAATATTATCCCCAAGTGCTAGAGTTTAAAAATATTTCCCTTTTGGGTGGTGAGTGAGTGTGTGTGTATGGCGGTGGTCAGAAAAAAGGAGCCAATGAGGGTTTTAGGAGTTGCTTCTTGTCTTAGCCCAGAGGGTGATGATTGGTGTCATTAGGAGCAGAGGGTTTTTTTAGATGGTGAGGAATAAACATTTTTAGGATGAGTGGCAGCTGGAAGCCAGTGATTGAATCTTGAAGCCCACCATTTTAGGCCTGCCTGAACCTCTTTCCCCACGAGATTACAAATGGTGCGATTAAGCAGGGAGGATGTTGAGGAAGGACCTTTCGGTTTGCTAACCTGGTGATTTTCCCTGGGGTTTCTGCTAGCTGTCTGGCAGGTATGTTCTGCTTTGTGGAAGAGGAAAGCCCTGTGTTCTCCTTCCAAGGGCAATGTGTCTGCTTTTTTGATTGAGATCTAATTAAACTCTGGACTACTATGTTTTCATAAGCAGTGAGTTGTACCCGTAGGCAATAGTAAAAAAGGTAACAAAAGACAGATATACAGAGAGTGGTGTTCTAGAAGTTGAGTGAAGTGATGTTTGAGGATTTGAGTGATTTTTTTCTCTCCACAGTAGAAATGAAATCAAGTGAATGCCATTTTGTTGCCAGGAGCAACTGGATCTGCTTGGTCCCTTAGCCAGGCAAATACAACAAGCTGCTTCGACTTCATTTTGTTTGGGTCTTTTAAACAGAGAAAGACTGGAAGCATCAGAGTGTTTCAGATTAAAAGGCTAAAGATACAGAAGTTCTATAACTGATGTAAGAACAAGGAGTCATTTCTTTTTTTAATTTATTTACTTTTTTTGTTGCAGTGTGTGGGCCTCTCATTGCAGTGGCTTCTCTTGTTGCAGAGCACGGGCTCTAGAGTGCAAGCTCAGCAATTGTGGCACATGGGCTTAGCTGCTCTGTGGCATGTGGCATCCTCCCAGACCAGGGCTCGAACCCATGTCCCCTGCACTGGCAGGCAGATTCTTAACCACTGCACCACCAGGGAAGCCCAAGGAGTCATTTCTTATCCCACTCTGCTCATCTCAAAATCTTTCAACTATTCCCCATTGCCTCCCTATCACATCCCAATGGGCTGTGCTGAGATATATTGGTCCATTCAGCCTTTGGGGCAGCAGGAACCTGTTAACTGGTCATAGAGGTGGATTTGGCCTAGAGCTGCACAATTCAGAAATATTCATGTTATCTCCAAGATAGGTAATATGTTTCACGTGTGTGTTCAAAGTATTTATTAGGTAAAAGTAAACATTTAAAAGCAACCACAGTTTTAGTAACTCGGTTTTGGAATTTTCTTCCCTTTTTTCATATACCAGAAGCCTTAAAAAAAAAAAAAAAAAAAAGACCAGGCTCCTAACCTCTGAGAAACCTCACTTACCTGCTTCACAGGCTTTCACAATATAGTGAAATTTCACAGGCTAATGGAGAAGGCAGACTTCCAGTAACTAATCACACAAAGAATTCATTGAAGTAAGAACTGGGTGCTTTGAGAAGGTATAAGAGCGGTCCTCTCCTATCTGGGCCATCAGGGAGGATTTCCCCAAGCAGATAAAACTGAAGAGGCTAGGGGAAGTCAGCCAAGTTTGGGGCAGGAGAGGGTTGACATAAGGAAGCAGAGGCAGTAAGTATCAATAACCAACTAGTTTTCAGGGACATAGGTGGACTTTAGGATGACTTTCACATTTTGGGTTTGGGCAAGTGGGTGAATGGTGGTAACTGGAGGAAAAATTATTTTCTGGTAATGGATGGGTAGATGATTAGTTCAATGGAGGTGTTGTATAAATATCTGATCTTGTATAATAAGAAGAGCTTAGTTACTCTTGTTAAGTTAGAACTTCACAGTGTATAAGGCACTATATAGGTCCAGTGGGGAATAGAAGAATAGATTTATGGTTCCTGCTTTAAAGGAGCTTATTTTTTTATTTTTTTGCGGTACACAGGCCTCTCACTGTTGTGGCCTCTCCCATTGCGGAGCACAGGCTCCGGACGCGCAGGCTCAGCAGCCATGGCTCATGGGCCCAGCCACTCTGCGGCACGTGGGATCCTCCTGGACCGGAGCACGACCCCATGTCCCCTGCATCGGCAGGCAGAGTCTCAACCACTGCGCCACCAGGGAAGCCCAAGGAGCTTATTCTTTAATTGCAGTCAAGGAGTTAAATAACCCCTGAAGATTCTAGTAACATTCTAAGACAACAGCAGGAGAAATGTTATAGGCAGTACACAAATGATTGCTAAGTGAATTGTATAGGTGCTTCTTGCTTTTCTGCAATTGGTATCCAAGTAGAATTGCTCATCTGGTTTTACTCTTGTTTTACTTTCATAGTTTGAGATGGGTTGAGGATAGCATGAGCTTGTTTAATAATACTGTGGGTTATTTGCTTTGGAATAACTCATTTTAATTTTAAATTTGTCTCATTTTACAGAAGAGGAAGCTAAGGCATGAGAGGTTAAATAACTTTCCCAAAGTCATGTAGCTGGTAAATGGTAAAGTTGGGATTCAGAGCTAGTCAACCTGAATCCAAAGTCTCCTCTCCTCAGTTTTTAAAAAATCCTATTCTTTTTTTTTTTTTTTTTACTAAATATATCCCCTATCTCCTAATTTTAGACATATATATTGTTTGTAATTTGGTGCCTGTATTTCTGGTTAGATCTTTAGGATAAAGTCCTGGAAGTGGATTTCCTGTACCAAGGAATGTAAAAATTTTAAGGTTCCTTAGAACATATCAAATTCTTTTCCAGAAAAGTTCAAAAAATTTACAGTCGAGATGTACTTTTCAATCCCATGTAGAAACATTTTTCAATTTCACGTGGTTGTCTAAGCCAAGACAAATAAGAGGACTCAGTAACACTATGATAAAGATGGTGGTTAGGATAATGAATCACAGAATCTGTTAGAGCAGGCAGGAACTCCAGGTGTCATCTAGGCCACCTCTTTCTTTATTAATTAAGAACCAAGGCTCAGAGAGCTTAAGGGACATAGTCCAAACCATACGTCTAGCAGAGTCAGAGTTAGGATAAGAAGCTGCTCTTAGCACTGTGTGATACATTGAGTCAGAGTCTCTTGGATGGTATGGTTGATTCAGGGGTGTGCTGAAATGTCCATTTGGGGTCTCAATTGGAGATTTAACAGACTTTTAGTGTTTGAGTCAGCTTCATAGTTCCCCCTTGAAACTTCACAATTGTGTCAGAGGGATGTGGAAGTAACTCAGAGGGATCTGCCCCGAACTGAGAGATCCAGTACCCACCCAAGGAGATAAATCCCCTGAAATCCCCTTTCATGAGTTCTCCTGCATCTGGCCTGATTCTGAATTCTCTTTTCGTTATTCTGTAGATTGTACAATATGTTTGAAAAAAGGGCTGCTCACATAATTCAAAACTCATATAATTCAAAACTGGTTTTCTATAGCACTGACCAGAAAAGAAGGAGGATATTTCTGTTTTTTATTGCTTGATCATGTAGCAATAGTGTAAACAGAATTTACAAATTGATTTGGCTTGGTATCCCTCTGGATAGGCTGGGTTAAGCTGTTAAACCTCAACATTTTAATGACTTAACACAATAAAGGGTTGCTTCTTGCAAAAATCTGATGCAGGCTTGTTGACTGTCTTCTATGTTGCCGATGTGCCATGCCAAGTTTGCCAAAGCATGGGAAAAGAGAGTTAAAGGAACCATATAGTCTATTAACTGACTCAGCCTGGAAGTGACAAATGCCACAGTCCATTGGCCAGAACTAGAAACGTGGTTCTGACTCGAATGGAGAAGAGGCTGGGAAAAGTGCATGGAAGAGTACACAGATACTTGATGAGCACTAATGGTCTCTTCCACACACTTGATGCTTGATACTTTGAAATTACCTACTTAAAATTTTTTGTAGGCAATTTCATATCATTTCAAGTTTTAAGCATAAAGGTAAAACTTTCCTGTTACTTTCTTTCAAATATGCTTAAAGTGTAAGTGTTGGATGAGTACACACTATCATTTTTAATAGATCTTTTGAGCTCCCTGTTAAAAACAATGAAACTTTTCAAAAATAGTTGTGAGATTTAGGTAAGTCATTTCACTTCTCTAAACCTGAATCCCAATTGAAAATGTGACTTAGCCCCTCATTCATGGGTATGTTGTGAAAATTAGATTAGAGATCACATGTAAAGCACTTGACACAGTGCCTAGAACAAGGTAAGTGTTCAACGAATGTAGATTTTTCCTCTTTTTGGTATTGTTGATATTGTAATGGATCTACAACTGTCGACAGTAATACTGGATCCTCTGACTCAGAGGTGTATCCATCATCATCAGAAGATAGTGTACTTTACAGGAATAAGCGATGTTTTGGCCAAATTCTGGAAATGAAATGTCTTCATCTTCTATATGTTCTTATTTTGGTAGTCATGGGGAATTTCAAAGGCCATGCTCTCCCTGGAACCTTCTTCTTTATCTTGGGGATTTGGTGGACAACAAAGTGCATTCTGAAATATGCCTTCAAAAAGCACAAGCGGACTTCCTACCTTGATTCCAAAGTATTATTCCACCGAGTAGAAATTTTGGAGGGAATCATAATAGCTGGAATGGCTTTAACTGGTGAGTGACCCTTTTCTGTGTTCTGTCTGCTTTTTGGGGTATTTTCACATGCAAAGAGAAGATTCAATATCAAAACAAGAAATTGCTAAAATAAAATTTTTATTCAAAAATACCCAAATACATATTCTAATTGTAATTTCTATCTGATATAATTTACTAGAAGGTGATACTCCATGTTTCTACAAAGGGCTATTCCTTAATGAGTTAGTCATAGCAATTAACTTGCCTGTCCATTCAAGGTGAATTTCCTTTATAGAATTAGTTGGAGCCTTTAAAATAATTTTATATCAATTATTCTGATGTCTGAAAGAGTAAACTCTATCAGAAACCATTTTTCAAAATGACACCAAAATAATCAAATGATTATGGGAAGGCTTCAGTAATAAATCATTGCTGATAGGCTGTCCAGACGGTCAGGCTGAAGAAAACTTATCTCCTGCACTCATCCTCTTTGTGTGATTACTAAATTAGAGAGGGAGGTTGGGCCAGATGATTGTAAGGCCTTTCCATTGGCTCTATGATTCTGTAAAAATGTTCTGTGTTTTTAAAGTTTTAAAGAGAGGAATTTTGTTGCCAAATTCTATAGATTAATAAATAAAGCAGCATCTTCAAGAAAGCTTAAATGTTTGTGTAACTGACTAGACTCTATGCTGTATCTGTCTGTGCTTTCTCGGTTATCCTTAATTGGGGAGAAGCTGAACTCTAGCATTTTAATCCTGAACCAAGCACAACTCCCTACCCAAAGACATAGTGTGTAAGAAGGAAGTAATCAGATGCCATAGAACTAATCTCACAAATCTAAATCCAAAAATTACTCAGGATTTATCTAGTCATTAAATTAAAATAGGAACTAAGACCATCAGTGGAACTGATCAGGGAACTCAGTGGAACTAAGATCATTAGCTTTGAAGATCTGAAATAGCTGTTTGACTAAATTGGCCATCTTTGACTAAAAGTGATTATCCAAACCAGTATTTGAAGCTCTAAAACCAGCCTAAAGAACCAGTGCTCAGCTGTTAGGGAACAGCCCTGAAAGATGAATCAATGTCATAAAAGGGCACTATATTGGACTAAGCAGTAGGCTGATCCTTCTGCATCTTCCTGCTTTCTCAATAAAGTTATGGAAATCTTGCTTAAAATGTGATATGTCCCTCCGTAGGCATGCTTGGAGAACAGTTTATTCCTGGAGGACCGCACCTGACCTTATATGACTACAAAGAGGGCCAGTGGGTCCAACTCCTGGGCTGGCATCATTTTACCATGTACTTCTTCTTTGGGCTGCTGGGTGTGACAAACATCTTATGTTCCACCATCAGGTCACTTCCTGCCTCCTTTACCAAGTTAATGTTAGCAAATGCCTTATTTGTGGAGGGTAAGTATGAGTATTTTCATATACCTTTCACTATTATTGGACATTTATCTAGCACTTTACAATAATACTCCTTTAGTGTCCTGCAGCCTTGATCCACACGGCCATCTGTTTGGGCCATGGTGAGCTATTGAGATGTCCTAGACAGGATGCCCAAGTTTTTCCTTCCCTACTGACTCATTTTGTATAGCTGGACAAGCGCAATCATTCAATGTGTTTTATTCACATTTCACATCTGTCTTAAAGAACCACCTACCATGGTTATTTATCTCTGGTTTATCCTGGAGATTATCATTATTTCCATCTTTAACATGTGAAACTGAGCTCAGAGTAGTGAAGCATATATATCCTCAAACGAGGAGACCACTCACAGCAGAGTAGCTTCCATACCTACAAACTAGCCTTTTTAATATTGATATAGTAAAACTCCACCATTACATGATAAGCAGGGTCCAAAAAATTCAGTCACAGAAAAATGAGGTCCTAACATTTTTTTGTTCAGTTGGCCTCCCTGTTACTGTATAAGGAAACACTGAAAACAAGTATTTATTGATTTGTTTTCATTTATTTCATATGTAAAGGATAGATTGATCATAGAACTGAAAAAGCCCCCAGTTATCAGGAGGCAGTCATTTCCTAACGTCCACCTTGCCTCCCACCTCTAAAGGTAAGAGCTTTTGCCAAACGCTCTTTGAAAACAAGAGCTAGATAAAAGTTGGGCACCAACAACTAAGCATGATTCTCATTATCTCAGGATGTTACCATGTTTTGAATGAACATCCTTTCCTCCTCAACCAAATGCAAAGAATGAAGCTGAAGCCGGAATCTGTCCATGGGATTAAAAAATGTAGCTAGCTGCTACTTCTTGGGAGCTTCCAGAGAATCTTGTCATACCCATCAAAGTGCACTTTTATGATTTGTGTGTATATCTGCTGCCTCCAGTGGACTGAATTCCTTAAGGCGAGGCTTTGTCTCATTCCTCTGCCTATTCACCCTAACTCCTGCTGCCCTACCCTCATCATGCTTATTATTCATCCTTTCGCATAAAAGGTGCTTTGAAATATAGTTGGTTGAAAATGTCATAACATATTGGAGGAGAGAATAAAGGTTGGGGAAGGGAAAAGGAGATTTCAAAGATTCCATCCTAAAGAGGTAGTGGTGACTCCAAAAATGGCAGAGGTTTCCATTTTTGTGGGAAGCAGTGGGCACCTGATATTTTGGACAAAGAAATGTGTGTGTTTGTAAAGTTGTGTGTCGAGAGAGAGAGAGAGAGAGAGAGAGAGAGAGAGAGAGAGAGAGAGAGAGAGAGAAACAGTAGGTAGTTTCATCGAAAAAGACAAACTATTTTTTCTCCTTGTATCAGGTTTTGTCTTCTACAATCACACTCATGGTCGGGAAATGCTGGACATCTTTGTGCACAAGCTTCTGGTCTTGGTCATCTTTTTGACAGGCCTGATTGCCTTCTTGGAGCTTTTCATACTGACCAATATAACTGTGGAACTTCTGCGGATAAGCTTTTTCCTACTTCAGGGAAGCTGGTTCTGGCAGGTGAGTTGGGCCTCCAATTAATGTACCTGGTATCTCCACTGATAACCTTCTGTCTTTGATTGGTGGGTGTTTTGCTCTAGAACCCAGAGACTTCCTTCTGATGTGCTGCTGGTAGTGAGAATGTGGACCTTTGAGAGGTGATGTTTCTTTGACTGGCCCTGTGGCGCTGGTGGGAGCGGTGATAGAGCAGGTTGGGTGTGTACATTTTCATCACACACCTGAGTATCCATTTTGTAGGAACTCTGAGCCAGTGCTTTTAGCTGGAAGCAGTTCCTGATGCTAAAGCAGCTTAAAGCCTAATGGGTAATAAGCTCAAGAAACATATGGAAGGCAGGAAAGGGAGGAAATTATTATGTATTGAGAAACAACTATGTGCTGCCACCGTATGGGACTTTTACACGCTCATTGTTTCATTTTGTCCTCATGATGACTTGGACGTTAGGTAATATCATCCCCAATTTACTGACAAAGAAGACTCAGAGAGACCAAGTTACTTTCCCAGGATCACGCAGTAATGGAGCTAGCACCTAAATGTGGGTCTGTCTGACTCCAAATCCCAGGCACTTTCCATTTTACTGTTGACTCCCTAACGTTGCAGTGTTGAAAACATGTATTCCAATCAGTGAACATATACTTTATAGAGACTGATAAATCATAATCCAACATACATATATAGATGTAAAGAAAGTCTGGGATGAAAGGTGAATGTGGTTTAATCAGGGAAGATTTCTTAGAGATTTTTAGTCACTAAAGTGCAGGGATTTGGGATGAGGAGGTTATTCCAAGGACTTGCATTTCAGCGAGGAGTGGTAAGAAAGCACTGGTAGGCAAGAGGAAGAGAAACATCATGGTCAAAGCATCATGGCTAGGAAAGATGTGATATTTAAGCTTATGGGGGACTAGAAAGGCTGTTGGAGCAGAGACTAGTAAAGAGAGGACTAGATTCAGGACTTACTTTTATTTAAAAAAAATTTAATTAATTAATTAATTTATTTTTGGCTGTGTTGGGTCTTCGTTTCTGTGCGAGGGCTTTTTCTAGTTGTGGTGAGCGGGGGCCACTCTTCATCACAGTGCATGGACCTCTCACTGTCGCGGCCTCTCTTGTTGTGGAGCACAGGCTCCAGACGCGCAGGCTCAGTAGTTGTGGCTCACGGGCCTAGTTGCTCCGCAGCATGTGGGATCTTCCCAGACCAGGGCTCGAACCCGTGTCCCCTGTATTGGCAGGCAGATTCTCAACCACTGCACCACCAGGGAAGCCCAGGGCTTATTTTGAAGGAAAAATGATATAGAAAAAATAACAAATACCTTATCATGTGATAAAATTGATAATTGGTGAATTTAACCAGTTGGTATACAGAAGTTGTTCTGTGAGATTATTTATCATCTGCTGGGAAGCGAAATATAATGGCATGTAAAACATGATTATGTATTCTATATCTCTTGATTGGAATGTTTTGCTATGTACATGTATTGCCAATTCAAAACTAAAAATAAATTTAAAAAAATTTAAAAGTGATAACTTCCTGTCAAGATGACACAGTGAGTTTATGCTTCAGTGTATCTCCTCTGCTTCAAATATATAACAATGACACATAAACTATCAAAAATACCTATAAAATAAAAAAGAAATCAAAAGAAGAGAAAAGTAAATGAAAGTAAAAGAGTAAAAAATATGTAGTTGCAATTAAACAACAGAAACAAAAATAGGGCACGCCACCTGTGGGCCACACACAGAATAGAAATGCAGAGCCAGAGTAGAGCTGCGCTGCAGGCCTGCGGGCTCCAGGTCTAGGGTAGACATGGCAGTTGGTTCTTTGGCTCCAGGGGAGCTAAAAGGAAATTGAAGGGTTCCTCTTAATGTGGGGATAAAACCAGGTTCTTGGAACTCTTTTTAGTTATATGTTTACATATTCTCTACTCCTAATTGCTTTCCATCCATTGGATCTTTCACTTTCTGATAGAGGTCTGTTAAAATTTTATCTTATAGTTATGGATTTGTTAATTTCTCCTTATTTTCAATTTTTTCTTTAATGTCATGAGGCTGTATTCTGCTTCTCCCCTCCTAGATTTTTGAGTTGAATGTTCACTTATTTTCAGTTTTTCTTTTTTTTAAATAAATATGCCTAAGGCTATAGAATTTCTTCTATACACTACTGTAGCTACCTCCCGTGAGATTTGGTGTGTGGTAGCTTTCACTCTTGGGCAACTTTTTTTTTTTTTTAACATCTTTATTGGAGTATAATTGCTTTACAATGGTGTGTTAGTTTCTGCTTTATAACAAAGTGAATCAGTTATATATATACATATGTTCCCATATCTCTTCCCTATTGCATCTCCCTCCCTATCCCACCCCTCTAGGTGGTCACAAACCACGGAGCTGATCTCCCTGTGCTATGCGGCTGCTTCCCACTAGCTATCTAATTTACGTTTGGTAGTGTATATATGTCCATGCCACTCTCTCATTTGTCACAGCTTACCCTTTCCCCTCCCCATATCCTCAAGTCCATTCTCTAGTAGGTCTGTGTCTTTATTCTCTTGGGCAGTTTTGAATGTTGCATTTTCTATGTGCTTTCCTTTTTAATGTATGAGTTATTTAGGAGTGCACTTTTCAATTTCCAAAAATATTTTTTCTTTTTATTATTTATTTTCAGTTCAATTGCTTTGTATGTGTTCTCTTTGAAATGTGTTGGGACTTCCTTTGGGACATAGCCCAATGTCAGTGGTAGTAAATGTTCCATGTATCTGAAAAGAAAGTATATTCTGTCTTTGCTGTGTTGAAGATTCTACATATATTTACTAAATCAAGTTTCTTAAAGAGCTAAATATTCAAATAAAGAAGTTAGAAAGTAAGAAAAAAGGGGAGGGCTTCCCCGGTGGTGCAGTGGTTAAGAAACTGCCTGCCAATATAGGGGACACGGATTCGAACCCTGATCTGGGAAGATCCCACATGCTGCGGAGCAACTAAGCCCATGCGCCACAACTACTGAGCCTGCGCGCTAGAGCCCATGAGCCACAACTACTGAAGCCCATGCACCTAGAGCCAAAGCTCCGCAATAAGAGAAGCCACTGCAATGAGAGGCCCACGCACCGCAACTAGAGAAAGCCGCGTGCAGCAACAAAGACCCAATGCAGCCGAGAATAACTAATAAATAAACATATATTAAAAAAAAAGTAAAAAGGGGAAACACAAAGAGAGTTGAAGAAAGGAATAATAAAGATAAGAGCAGAATTAATGAAACTAATTTGAGTTCCATTAATAATTAATTAAATATCAGAGGGAGGAAGTTGTGGGCTGTCACTACTGAGAATAGGTTGGCTTAATTTTGTCCCTTTTGGCAGATAAATAATCTTTTCACATTTCCCCAGGAGCTTTTCTAAGGAAGAGATATGAGGTTAAAGTCTTGGGGCATAAATCTGAGATTATTTAAAAAATTTTCCAGCCATCATTATGTCTAGACTAGTATCTTTCTTTACCTGGCAGCCAGACTAAGTAACGTTTGGGACTTAAAGGAAAATGAACATTTCATACCAATGCAAACACACACACTGGCAGGAAATGAAGCTTTAGCCATAGTACATCTCTTCCCCCACCCCCTCCCTGTTAGATTCCTCTGAAACAAAAATGTTTCAGGGACTTAGGTGAATTTATTATGCTTCCATGTTTTGTTGCTATGAATGTTTATGCCCAAAACTCTATCTCAAGCTAATACTATTACATTGTGATTTCCTTTTCACCATATTTTTTTCTCTCGCTACTTCTCCATACATGGTTAATATTAAGCACAATACTAGCGCTTAAACAATATATAGACAGATTAGAGAAAAGGTACACCTAGATTCTTGGAACCATAAATATGGAGAGGTGAACTGAATGAGGCAAATGCTCACAGTGGCCATTTTTAAAATAACTCATCTATAAATAATTAGGTAGTAGACAAACCTGGAGGGAATTCCCCTCCCAACCTATTAAAAATGGTTTCTTTCCTAAACCACATTACAGCCAAATATATTTTCTCAAAAACCTAACCATGATGCAATTTAAAAAAGAAAAAAAAATCCCTTGGGTCCATTTATTCCATGAATCATGTTTTCTGAGTCTGTGTGTGGGACAATATTTCTAAAGCTCACTTTTGCGCTTTGTCATTCTCAAATTCCCACCCTTCGTTGTCAGAGCCATGGCTCAGAGAGAATCAGGAAATGAGGAAGACACATTTGCTGCCTTTGCTTCTCAAGATGTTGGACAATTGCTTCAGCTGTACCTCCCAGCTCCACTAATCGCACCAGAAACTCCCATGATCCCCAGATCTCTAAGCCCAAACTAAAACCCAGCCTTGTCTTACCTTTAAGAACGATAGTAGTTCATTTGAAAATGACAAAAAGACCCAACTAAGCAGCAGTGGTCTGAGGTCTGATATGGTAGATCAAACACTTGCTTAGGCTTATAGTGTTGAAATAAGTGACTGGAAAATAAGAAAGAAAACACTAGGAAAGTCAAACTAACGTATAGGTAATGGGCCCTGGCTGGATGCCTATTAGAGAAGATAATTATTTACATTTTAAATGTGATACTAATGAAGCTTAAACTAGTCAAAAACAGATGTTCAGGAGTGACATACAAGATATAGCAAGAAAAAAATCCTTTTTCAGACCTTTTTTTCCTAGGAATTTTATATTAGGAAGGAAATTAGGACAGCAGATGAAAGAATAGTGACTAACTTTTACATTTAAAGGAAGATTTAATGGGTTGTGGCATTATCTGGCCTTAATTTTCAACTTTCCTAATTTACTTGGGTTTAGCCTGAAGTGACTTTCCAAAGGTTTCTATGGCTTTCAGTATAATCACATCTGTTAACTCTGTTCACAGGCTTCACAGTGGCCTTCAGTCAAATATTTAGCATTCAGTATATTAGGCTCTGAGGATCCCAGTGAGATTAGCAGTAGAGGGTGCTCAAAGTTTCTCTTTTCCTGGTGTAAAACAGTAAATACTTTGGTAAAGTTGA